AAAAATAATGGATAATAATGATAAAATAAATTTGATAAACTAATAATAAATTCAAAAAAATTTTTTTTTTTAACTCTTTACATTATGCTTTCATTTATTTCATATGAAAAAAAAAAAATTATAGCAATAATTACATTGAAGATTATTGGTGAAAACGATAGAAATTCATGAATTACATTCATTTCCATTTGATGAACGAAACTGTTCGTTAATCTTTCATAACGGTGATTAATTTATTTACTCTTTTTAAATAATTAATTTATTATTTTTCAAAAATAACACCTTGTTCAATTAAAAAATAAATGAAATTTTTGCAAATATTTAACAAACAGTTTTGAGAATTTTGATAGAAATACGAATTGATTGATTGTTAAACAAGAGAATTAAATTAAATTTCATCTATTAATTAATTAATGGCAAATAGCATAATGAAAAATTGAGGCTAATATTTGTTCGTTTTTTTTGTGATTCTTTTTTTTTTCTAGAAGATTCACGAGCTCAATGGAGTGGAATAACATCAATTACAGTATCAAAAATTGGTTGGGGTGTATGGATGGTAATTGGTTGTGAAAGAATTGGTAAAACTATTATTTTAAGCCTAAAGAGGTTAGTTTTTTTTTTTTTTTTTATTTTTCCTCCCTCTCTTTCTTCTCGAAAATTTGAAATTTGGATTTTTTTTCTGTTTTTGGATGGGAAAAAAAGATTGAAAGTGAATGGAAAAAAGGTTTTATTTTTTTCCTTTAAAATTTAATTTTAACTTTTAAATTGAAAGAAAAAAATTCGTTTCATTTATTCTAAATATATCTCAATTTCAATTTTAATCGCTATTAATGTTTTTATAAGCATTTCGTCAAATAGTTATTGGAATTGTTTTTGTTTCATTCGAAAATTTTCCGAACTTCTTTTTTCCTTTTTATCAATTTCTATTCATTTAATTAAACTAAACTGAATTAAACTAAACTAAATTAAATTAAACTAAATAAAGCTAAGCTAAATTTAAACTAAACTAACCAAATTAACCTATTAATTTCTTTTTCTATTAATTCAATTTGAAAATTTAATAAATATTATTATTAATGCTACAGATCAATAATGATATGGATTTGGACATTATATGGGCCAACAATTATTCTCTTTTTTTGCTCTTGGTTATCACTTTGGCTCACGAGTAATTCAGCCAAGCATCGTTTCATTATCAGTACTACCAGTTTTTTCACTATCCTTATCATTGTAAGTGCTACAAATTTGTTAATAAAAATGAAAAATAAACAAAGCTAAAAATATTTCAAATTATTATCATTTTTTTTCTTGCCAATTAATTCAAACAAAACATCAAAATATCTGTGAGAAAGTAATGTTGGATGTAAATAAAATTGTGGAATTTTCAATAAATATATTTGAATTCGAAACTTGAAATGAATAACTTGATTTATTTACATGATAAATTTAATTGAGGTCTACTGATACATTTATTTGAAATTTATTTTTGATAAATTTTATAAAATAACACTACTAATAATTAGCATCATTCTTTTTTTCAGATTATCAGTAATAATTGGAGTGTCACACGAACATCATATTTAAAAGCGATTGATATATGGAATTTACAAATTGTTGCATTTGCATTTTTCATCGTTCTACAATCTGTTCTTATCACTAAAAAAATGATGGAAAAACAAAAAAAACCGAAGCGGATATATGTAAATTATCAATAATAATTAATAATAATAATAGTGATTGATAGTAATAATAATAATAATAATAATAATAATAATAATAATTAACAATAATTAATAATAATAATTAATAATAAT